GCAAACAGTTTTTTTTTTATTTAATTTAAAAGCATGCGGGCACCATCTCATTCAAAGTATCTTCAGTGAGCACTCACCTTAAAAGCCATCAGTGCAAGCAAAATCAAAATCGAGGCACAAAGTAAATTCCAAAATGAAAGTGAAAAGGAAATTCAAAGGGAAGTGAAAATTGAATAGAAAGATGGCAAATATTTGACTTGACAATAAAAGTGTATTTGAAAGGTTCTTAGAAGAAAAAAAGCGAAAGCAACATTACAGCGAGAGAATCAGTGTAGATTAAGTTAGGTTAAGGCGGATTAGCTCAACCAGATACTGCCGCAAAAACATTCGCTCTAGCTTTAATGCCTTCCTGAATTACTAAGTTTGTTTGATGAGCATCGATGAAAGCAGCAAATTTCAAAATAAGTTTGACGTATTGAATTCTTCTTCTTTATTGGCGTAGACATCACTTATGCGCTTATAGCCGAGTTAACAACATATATATATATAAATATAAATATAATTGTTGCTTTTGTAATCGCTGAAGCGATTTTCGGTCGAGTTCCTCTTCCAAACAAATGGAAGAACATACAGTTTGTACTAAGCCGCCTCCAAACGGCTGATGGTTTTTTATGAGGAGCCTTTATTTCATGTCCAAAATATACTTGAAATTACCTACCGAGGAGTAAAGCTGGGGTATTCTTATCCATCCGTACGACATGACCTAGCCTGCGCAGCCGCTGGTTACTGATTTGCTGAACTAAGTTAATGCCACTACATACAATATATCGTGCAGCGCATTATTCCATTGGCTGCGGTATTCATAGTTCCCAAACAAAGCTTTTCTCTCGAAAACTCCGAAAGCCGACTTAACAAATATCCATGTCTCCGCACTATACAGCAGATCGATAATGATGCGCAACTGCGAGAGACGACTTTGCAATTTCCTACTCAGTTCAAAGTATTACCTGTTGGTGAGAGCGATTCTAAGTTGGACTTAAAGACTGGCATTGTTGTTGGTGTTAATACTAGTTCCAAGATAGCCAAAGTTGTCTACAACTTCAAAATGAAGACTGTCAACACTGACATGGAAGTCGAGTCGCGAATGCAACGATTGTTTGTTTGATGACAGGAGATATTTCGTCTTGCCCTCGTTGGCTCGGGAAAGTCTTTCTCAATCCTAACAAAGACTTCAATGTCGTATTGCATTAACAGTATATATCTATATATATATATAATCAGCGCTGAAATCTTTTTCGGTCGAGGTACTCCTTCAATTTGTGGCATGCGGCTTTGTGGTTTGAAATAAATTTAGGGTCGAACAGTTTATACGAAGAAGCCTCCAAAGGGCTGCTGGATTCTTAGGAGGAGCTTCTATTTTATATCCGAAAGACACTCGGAAAGCTTAACATTCCCTGTGGATAGGCTAACGCGTTTAAAACAATTCAGTTTCTATAATTTCAATGACTCAGAGTCTGGTCTCCAGAAAGGCAGCATGCATTTGTAAGCCATTTTGGATAATAAGGTCCCCAATTCCTCTATTGTTCTTTGTTCCCAATTCCGCTTAATTTGAAGTTGCTCAAATGTACGTTTTGGTCTGAAACATTTTTTCATTTCTCTTCTTATAATATCTCGTCAACGTTCCATAATCTAACGTCAACCTCCAGAACTAACGCTGAACCCTCTTAGGGTAAAAGGTCATCACCTTGGCGCACTCTCATATCAATTCCAGGTACATAACTTTATAAGAAGTGACCTGAGTGATGCGAGCCCCTTCTTAGAGCTTAGCCTGAAGAACTTTGAACTTAGAAATCGACCTTCGGTTGAATTTCTGGCTCGTTTTTTGAAAAATTTTTGGAAGACGTTGAAATGGTGACCGTATTCAAATGATTTAGTGTCCTGATGAGAGTCGACATGAGTTCGAATCCTAGAATATATATCGATTTCCATACAATTCAGTTCTCGAAATAACCAGCTTTTAGCCGAAATATTGCTAGAAACTCAGCTCATCATGTTGTTATGGTACTCAGGTTGTCGCTGATTTGAAGTTATCGATGTGCAATTTCAAAACACTTTAGCATTTTGGAATTTCTAAAGGGAGCGTCCACAGATGAGATGAAGACCGAATGCTGTTTTAAACGGATTCCATGAAGTGGCTTATTTACTATTTGAGTACTCTTGTGCATTGATTTTTCGAAAAATTGCTCGTCGCTATTGCTTCGAGCTCATAACAGCATCGACGAACATTTTCAATAAAAATCCTGGCTGACGTATGCGTAGTAGACGTTAGCGATGTGAAGCAAATTTGTAGCACACACATACAAGCATACATGCAAGCCAATGTGCTTGAGATACATATGTACATGTACACGTATCTTATATACTCCTATTCAGCATCCGCAAATGCCGTCATAGTCATCTGTTGCTAAAGTTTTGTTTTCGGCGCCATTTTGTCTTGGCATCTGACCCGGCACAGGCAAACAGAACTTTGTTGCAAGTCGTTTCCATTAAAACGCAAGCAGCGTAAAACTTTTATTATTTTTTATCATAGTGATGTTGCATGTAAGCATTTCTACTACAACAATACCAACAACTTACTTTTTAAAATCAGCAACTACACAAAGACTTGTAAGTAAGTATGTTTGTATGTATGTAAATGTGTTTATCTTGCAACATGTGCGCCAACTTGCAAGTTATATTTAAGTTGCAAAAGCTTATCGCTATCCTTGCATGGCATTAGTGCAAGCAATTCTTGACATGAGGCAAATTGGATTTCCAAAGTGGATATCGTTTGATGCAACTTCTTTTGTAAGGTAGCAAGCAGCCAGATGACTTTTCGCAGTTTTGTATGTATGTAGTTGAGGGAAAAAAAGTAAAGCAGGATATATGTACTCGTATATGCGTATGCGTGTACGTGTGTGAGTATGTTTGCATATTTATAAATCCTTAAGAGAAAAAGTTGAAAAATAACTTTACTTTTCGATTTTCTATTGAGATTAGCAATGTGATCTGCATAGTTTAGCGTTGAATAATGCCAGTTCCTCACTAAAGAGCGAAATTGTAGTTGGAAAATTTGCCGGCGGGCGGTGAGTAATACAATGTGACGGGCGAAAAGTTTTATAGGATGATATTTATATTGTTGTTTTGAAGATTTTGATTTTAACATATATTACCATGGACGCTATTTGATTAAGGGAATTCATTGACAGTAAATTTAAGTAGCCAAATCTATGCGGAATATATTGCTGAAGCTCTATACATTTATTTTAATTTCCCTTCCATACTTTTGTTTTTTTTTGAATAAGGCACAAAGCTGCATGATTTATGAACACTTTTTTCTCTTACTACCTTATCTAACACACTCACACTTAATATAGTACACAGTTACGTCTATTTAGTCTCGATTGAATTGGCATATGATTAAACGTGATAAATCAAAATCGATGAACGAAAATTTAGAATTTAATAATAAAAAATAAAAAAAATAACAACTAAAAAATGAAAAAATTTAGCAAAAAATATCAAGTAAAAACCAATTAGAATTAAATGAAGTAATAAAAAAGCGAGATCCAAAAATAATTAAAATAAAAAAGAAAAAAGCAGGAAATGATGACATAATTAAATAAAAAAAATTAAAAATAAATAAAAAAACAAAAAAGCATTTAAGTTAAAAAATTTGGATATGTATGAGATATAAAAAAAAAAATAAAAAAATAAAAAAAGTTAGTTTTAAAAATAGTTGTAATAACTCATAAAAATTATTTAAAACGTTTAATTACTCAAAGTATAAAAATAAGTTAATAAAGTAACAAATATTTATTAAACAATAAGATATTAAGATAATATTTTTCTTTAAATAAAAAAAAGATTTAATAAACTAATTCATTAAAGAAAAACTAACTATTTAATTAAATAATTAAATACAAAAAATATATTTACAAAAGAAAATTAAAGGTAATTGTGCGAAATAAATTAATAAATTAAAAAACAAATAAAAATAAGTACATACTTTTTTCAATTAAAAAAATTCCAACATATAAAAAAATTATTTGTACAAAAATATGTCGCCCAACAAATAAATCAATATATGAATAATCGGTAATTAAATAAATCATTAAAAACGAAGATGAAAAATATGTAAATTATTAAATAGTACTAATTAGAAAATTAAATAAATAAATGTTAGAAATAAAAAAATATTAAATATAAAAAATCTATCGATAATTGCTAGCAAGGATATCAAATAAGTAAATAGAAACAAATAAAAATTAATTAATATTATAAATAAGAAAATACTAAAAACAAAAACTGTAAACAAATAAGGCACCTGGAAAGCAAATAACTAAAAATGAAATAATTAAATTATCATTAATCACGATTTTGACGTAAACGTGTGAGCTTATCGAAAAATTCTATTTGTAGCATTTCATAACCAATAAATTTATTATAATATTTCCTCGGCGTCGCCCGCCACACATTAAAAAGGCAAAGCAATACAAATGATTTCTCGGAACAACTATCGGTACTTGGCAATGCGAGACATCTTATCAATTCAATGTGGATGGCCGCAAAATTTGACAAGAACAAAATCAATAAATATATATATGAAATTGGTGCTTTGTAACCGGTAAAGCGATTTTCGGCCGAGCTCTTCCTCCGATTCGTGGTTTTGCGTCTTGATGTTTTTCCAAAAAATGGAGGGATCTAAACGAACGTCTGACGGTTTTTTTTATGAGGAGCTTTATTTCATGTCAGAAAGACACTCTCAGGGGTTGACATTCCCTGCCGTTGGGCGGCCGTAATTGGAAAATTTAACTTAATTTTCAATTTAAATTAATTTTTTATAACTTTTATTGGATGTTAGTACGACGCCAGGACTTGAACCCGAGCCTTTCGTATGACAGTTCGCAATGCTTACCTAGCCGCGTCTGGTATTATATAATTAAATTAATGTATAATTTTATAAACTTCTTGATTAAATTGTTAGCATTCAAAACGGGTATAAAATGTGCGCACTGTTGGCTTTAAAATTATTACCACTAGCACGCCGTTAGATATTGACGGTATACTTATCATGAAGGCAGCCGTACAAATTTGTTTGCTTTTTGCATTCTTTACCATCACTTATGCGGCAAGTTCGACTTGGGGTGTACGTAATGCCACTGCAGATGTGCCAATAGTTTCAAGAAACGTATTCTTACCAGCCAAAAATGTCAGTCAGACTGTTTACTTTGATATACCCGAGACGGTAAGTTATTACTTTCTGAATTAGTTCATACAATGGTTGAAATTTAGTGTGTATTTTAGTACTTAACAGTTTCTCTATTTGCAGAATCAAAGCAACAGCAAAGTGATCAGCGTTATTTACTTGCAAGATCAATTTAAAAACAGCTCTGGCCCGACGAATTTCTTATATTATGGCGGTCCCGGCTGGACTTTTGCATCTGTACAAATGAAAACAATAGCTAATTATGGTCTTAATGTTACCTTTGTTGTTTATGGTATATAAACTAATATGACAAATAAAAAGAAATTGTTTGTTTAAAAAAAAACACTTAATTTAATTAATTATATTTATTTTATTTTATTTTATTTTATTTAATTTAATTTAATTTAATTTAATTTAATTTAATTTAATTTAATTTAATTTAATTTAATTNTATTTTATTTTATTTCTTTTTATTTTATTTTATTTAATTTTATATTATTTAATTTAATTTAATTTTATTTTATTTTATTTCATTTTATTTTATTTCTTTAAAATGTAGTGTTCGATTGGAAAAAAATATATGATTATGTTTTTTCATGTCCCTGTCAGTTGCTTTTCTTTATCTCTTACTTCTTTATCAAAATATGATAGCAAGCACGCGTTAGTCAGGTGGCTAGAAAGATTATGAAGGTATAGTCTTAGCGTGCTAGCTCCATTATTTCTGTGAATGCCCAGCTTTTTTTCAAAGTCGCGAGGATTCATCAAATATCTAAACGGCTGTCCGCAAAAGCTGATTGGACATAGGTGATTTAATTTCCTTATTTTTTAGTAAGTACGGGAAACCAATTCAAAAATCAATTTAATAATGTATTATATTTTTACAAATGCAATAAATAATAAAAAATAATTTCAAAATACTCGTACCTTGGAAAGAGAACAACGCGTATGTAAATAAAAAAAATCTAACGCTGTACGACAGAGCAACAAAAAAGAAATTTTATTAAAATCAAACTTAGCCTCACATTTGGCTTAGGTAAAAAATATTGCCTATGATGACCTCTCCAAATCGAGTGAAATCAATTTCGAACATTGTTTGCGATTTAATTTTATTAGACTGTCAGTGCAGAAAAGGTGAAAGTGCATATGTATTTATGGCCTGATTTACTACTAAAGGTTATGAGTTGAGCACCACAAAAGAAATAAATGCTGTATTACAATTCATAAGTAAAATTGATTGGATACTCAACAATTGCGGCCCGTGCGTATATGCGACAACGAAACTGGCATGATTTAAGCACCCAGGCAAATGGTTGCTTTCGGATGCGGATGAGAAGCAGATGCAATGATTTGTCAACTAAAGCCATTTAGATAAATACTTGTAATATGAGGAGACTACTTGCCCAATCTACGAGTATGTGAAGTGCGTTTGAGGGCGAGAAAAATGTGTGCAATAAAAATTGATGAAGGACAGAAGGCCGACTGCAACCTGATTCTATCTAGACTGATTACTAATAGTTGCAATATGTTACTGTGGGTTATGGGCAAATTGCTAGAAATATTGGAGGTAATAAAATTTACAACAAAAAAACTTACGGTCAAACCATAGCGCTGATATTCCTTTGAAGCTATAGCGGGTGATAAGTGGTTGTGGTTGCGTATAGTGTTTTGGCACTAAATAACAAAAGATAAATGCCTGCATGTGCCATCAAATTGGCTCAGTCTACTAATACCGGCAATTTCAACCACAAAAAACTACTGCAGATATTCTCTTTGTAAGGCTACCGGCGTAGAAGAAGAAACCGCAGTAAACACAAAAGAGCAATGTATGTACCCTCTTTTCTAGTGTTTCTGGCCTGCACTATGATAGGAATGAGTTGCAAATCGTAAACAATCACCTTTGCGACATTAGACTGAATGTCAATAGCAGCGACGCGTACTGATTGCCCAGCAGGACGAATGTGGGAAAAAAATGATTTTAGATACAGAGGCAATTTTAGTTTATACCTTTCTGTGAGATGAAATTATATTATAAGAACGTTAGGGAGACATCCAATAAAGTTGGGACTCCGGTTGATGTACTCGTAATGCATAATTGTAATAGATACCGTTGTTTTCGGAATGGATCGGCTATCCTCAGAGAGGGGATAAGAAGGAAAAAAAAATTTTCATATTGTTTATTTATTATTGTTCAATTATTTTTTGTTATTTAGTTTTCTTATTTTTTATTTATTATTACAATTTGTATTTAAAATGAAATAAGATTCTGCTACTTAATAATTATTTTTATTTTTATTATTAATTTTAATTTATATTATTAATTAACTATTTATTCTTATTTATGTATTATATTTAAGAAAAATTAATATTATTTAATTATTAATTTTTTTGTTATTTACAGTTTTTTGTTTATTATTATTTTATAATTAATATAAAATAAGTTTCTCTTAATTTATTTTTTATCAACTGACATTTATTATTTATTGTTATTACTTATTTTTTTAATTTAGGAATAATTTGTGAATTGTTTTAATAATGAATTATTTATTATTTACTATTCAACATTTTTTACTTATTATTTGTTAGCTAAACAAATAATTTTCTATAATAGATTTTTTTTTCTGAAATTTTTATTATTAATTACTAATTTTTTTTTTGATATTTATTGTTTATACTGCATTATTTATTTATTATGCTGCTATGGATTTTAATAATTTTTGTTTAATTATTATTTCCTTATGTATACTTTGCTATTAAATTTTATTGATTACATATGTTTTTATGATTTTTTCTGTTATTGTTATAATGACTATTTCTAATAAACAGAATTTTTTTAAAATACTTTCAAGAATGGTATAAAGAGTTCAAATGTACCAAAGCCAAAATTATTTTTTTTTTTTTATTCGCTTCATTTCAACCTTTTGTTTTACGCACGACTGACTCAAAAGCAGTATATGCCAAGAGAAGATAGACATTAAAATGATCTGTTTTAAACGGTTTGTGTGGCATGACTTTTGTTGTTATCCACTGTCAACTGTTGTTTAGAGAGGTAGCATGCCTTTTGCACAAACATTCACACAGTCACACAAGCATATTCTGTCGTTACCTGCTGCTGACACTTGTGTTACTCAAATCACGTACAGCATACTTTCTAGCGCCCACATTACCTCACAATCACAGCCTCCCTACTCATTCACTTATAGACACACTCGCCTTCGCCTTCGAGATTCATCGTTTTTAACGATGCTTGTGTTTAATGTGTGGTTTTTATGGCCGTCGCAAGCAAAAGTCGTCTGACTTTGTGTGGAAAATTTATCCTGGCAGTGCTTAAGAGGAAAACACACAAATATATACGTTTGTATATAAAGTAGTACACAAATTCAGTGTCACCCCTCTTTGTGGTGGTATTAAACACATTTTGAAGTGCATTAGGTGAATTACAGATAATTGCCGCAATAATTTTACACCAATCCCAATAAATTAAATTAAATTTTTGATGTTACCGTTTGGTGAGCAAAGCAAAGGTGGTTGAGATCTTTATAGTGTAGGCAATTTGAAAGGTCTTCAATAAAAAATCATATAGGATTCTTGATTTATTTTTCTCACTTTAAGGTTTAAAAGAAGAATAATCGATTTCTACGACACTTCAGCATAGCGTTCTCCAGTGAAAGAAGCATCGCCTTATAAAAAATCGGAAAGTTCGATACAGTTGCGTGTCATGCCGCATAGGCGCGCAGCAAATGAGCGTTGGTGTAACTTTCAGCCAGAAAATAGCGCCAAGTTGGAAAGGAGGCAATTAGATGGAGGACACATAATAACAGTTTTTCAAAGGGTGACACAGGTTCATAGTTGGGAAAAAAGGCTTTGGAGATCAAAAATGTTAAGTTTGTGGTTTGAACTGAAGCTTTAAAACATCCCTCAATATAGCCCAAAGTCAGACTTGAAGCTTAGACTAGTGTTACCTGTCTTGCTGCCATATCCACAAAGTGGACTGCCATAACTCTCCTACAGTGAGCTTACGAGTGGAAAGCGTCATGCTCAAAATCTTTCATGAAGGCGAAGCGCACTTTAATGCAATCTCTTTACCCTTTAAGAGACTGTGTTCACGCATCTATACCAGGTTCAAAGAGAACTGCAAAAACAATACAGTGATGTGGTAAACGAAAGACTTTGCTAAAGCTAAGATTCCTTGAGTAGACTTCTCCACCGACTCTGTAATCAAAATTTAAATATCTACGGGGCTTATTATCTTCCGTTAGGAGACCTTTTTTGGTTTTACCGTGTCACCATCAGCTCCATAATATCAGTAGGGAGTAGATCAAAGAGGACATTCCCAGTCTCAGTTGGTGTGGGATACGTACTCTACCAATACACAGGAGCACCGTTCTGCTCTATGAATTGTCGTCGCTGACCTCGGGATTTTAGCTGAAGTTATCATACATTGCAATTTCAACTCCAGTTTTAAGGCATTCATAGATAAGTGAAGGGATTTCGGCTGCAAAAGGATTCAGCTGATCGTAATCATACCATTTATCTCACCTACAAGCTTTGATGCAAGCATATCTAGTGATTAGCATTCTCGGTTCAAACACCATCCGCAATTGTATGAAAATAATTTATTTAATTGCGGTCGTACCTCGATAGGAATAACAAGGCCTTCTATTGTATTTCTGACATGAAATAAAATACCCTCATAAAAGTTCATCGGACGTTTGGAGGCGGCTTAAAATCAACTGTGAGTCTCTCCATTTGTTGGAAAAACCTCAAGACGCAAAACCACAAATTGAAGGAGGAGTTCGGCCGCAAATCGCTTCAGTATTTTTGAGCTTCCAGTTTGTATACAAAAAATAACCCTGCTCAAAACACTGCAAATTACTTTGAAATACTCAACACTACATTTACTGCCCAGCAGCCACTGTAGACTGCAGACCAGCAGTATTTGCTGGCGAAACCCAAAACATTGTGAAGTAAGCTCCATCACCTTTTGTTTTTGCTTGCAATATTCTACTACTATTTGATCTTCACCAACTACCAACTGCTGTGTGCCTAATCGAAAAGGATATGGCACGCGTCGTGCTTACAAAAAAAATTGCCGTTTTCACTTGGCTCATGGCCAACACTGTACAACAACACTCACTGCACTCGTACTTTAGCTATTTTATATACTCCAAAGCACCCAGCGTACATAAATTACTTACTCTACATACTCAACTCTTCTGCGTGGTAGAAATTAAGTTCTTCTGCGTACCAGACTCTAGTTTACATATCACTTGGAAAAGAAAGCCGCGAAAATTTCTCGCGCGCGCGATAGTCTTTAACGGTAACATTATGCTTTTTATTTCCGAT